CCCCAAAACCCCAAAACCCCATAAGAAAAAATCTGATAAAATTCAAAAGCAGTTTGAAGGTTAATGAAATACATTTAATAAAAATTCATATTTATACTATTAATTCAGATTGAAAGTGAAATGACAGATTAAAATAATCACAATCCAACAACTTTGCAGAATCACTTAAGGGGTAATTCTAATTAGATTTAATCGTCAAATGGTATAGACTCAAATACAAATGTTGCTAGATCAATTGAGCTTAACAGAATTAGACCCTCAAACTCTTAGTAACCATCAGTTCCTTTTAATCGCTTTAGGGACCGATTTCACTAAACTCAGTAACAATAGTAATTGCAAGGTTAAAGTAATAGCACTCCGAAGTTATAACTTAAAAATTTTTCCGAAATAAACAAGCAGCCAGAATCTATTCCCAAGGCATATATACTTTCAAGTAGCTCAAATTTAGTCTCAAAAAAGGGCAAAATAGGGGATAAAAATTAAAAACACAGCACTGATCTAGGATATTAAAATAATTCTAATAGTTCATAAGCAGTTGAGGATCAGTTATCATCAATGGTTACGCAAGCGCCAAGAAATAATCAGAATATGAATACTAACTATACAAGTATGTAAACTCCTGCAGCTGTTCCCTCTTTGAATTTAATTCAAAACTTTAATTAAGAAGAGCGAATGGGTTATATAGGCAAATAAAAACCTAGAGATAAAGGGAAAAAGACTTTGATTCTAGACTTGGATGAAACTCTAGTCCACAGTTCCTTCAAATTCATTCCAAATGTTGACATTATACTTCCAATAGAGATAGAAGGGAGAAATTGTGAGATCTTTGTTCTTAAAAGACCAGGGGTGGATGAATTTCTACACAGAATGATCCAAATTTATGAAGTCATAATATTTACAGCATCATTATCCAAGGTAAGAATATTAATTAGATTCTTGCCTTTTTAATTTTATTTTAGTATGCTAATCCGCTTATTGATAAATTAGATACTATGAACTACAAATTCGCAAAGCTATTTAGAGATCATTGTACCTTTTACAACAATACCTTTATCAAGGATCTCTCAAAGATTGGCAGAGACTTAAAGGATATCATAATTGTGGATAACTCCCCAGTGGCATATATGTTCCATCCAGAAAATGCCATTCCTATTCCATCTTGGTATGACGATCCAAGAGACAAAGAATTAAACAAGTTGATTCCTATCCTTGAAAAACTCTCCTAAGTAGATGATGTGAGAAACTATATTAGATATTTGGTGATTGATAATAGAATATTGTTTACGAGAGCCTAAACAATGCTTAATGCTCATGCCAGAAATACTCAAAATACGGAAAAAAGTAACCAAGCTCAGAGCAATAAAGATAGTTATCACTAGATCCATAGATCACAAAGCAATGTCCAGCCAAGATAATTTCAAGCACTATAAATCTAAAAGGAATAGCAATAAATATAAGTCTAGCCAGATTTAACAAATGAGAACCAAAAGAGAATATTCTTCCCAGTTGAAGCATAAAAAGAGTCCACAACAAGTTAATAAATAAGAAGTATATCGTAGCAATAGAAGAAGTCTAAGCTTTATGATTTGGAAGATGATGATTATCCTGAGTCTCCAGCTTAGAAAATGAAGAGCGATACTAAGTCAAGGAACATCAATCCTTCTAGTAAAAGAGGATTGGAGAACTCTCAATCCAAGAAGCATCATCTGATGAGAGCTAGTTCAAGTCATAAGGGACTTCTCATTTAAAATACAAATAATGACTCAGCCAGTAGCAGAAACAGACTATCAAATTAGAGGCCACATAATTCTAACTCTTCTGATACTGAATCTATATCTAATAATGGAATCAATAATAAAGCTAAGCGAGCGTTAACTTCACATAAACATCTTCCTCTGTCAAGTCCACAGAGAAATGATTAATCTTAAAATAGTATTAATATGGTCAACAACTCTCAGTCAGCAACAAACATCAATTATCTCGCTAGAAAGGAATAGATTAACTAGCAAATGTAGTAGCATTAACTTATGTAATAATAGCAACTTCAGCAACAGTAAAATAACAGATTATAAGCTTAAAATTTCAATTATGCTCTAGCTAATACTAATCACATTAAACAAGTCATTAGACCTACATAAATACTTAACTATCACAAGAAAACGCCAAGAATAAATCATCATCAATAAAACATGAGGAATCCTAATGTCACGAATACAAATTAGAGCGAGACTTCTTATTTGCAAAACATCCAAAACTAATAAAATCAATAAACAATAGTCCTAGCGAGGAGAGCAGTCATCAATGGCTACAGTTCGAATGCGACACCATAGCCAGTCATTAAAAACCAAAATATATCATCGTAGATGCAGCTAAGCACCGCTCCCTAAATACAGTTAAATCAAACTAGAATGTATGCTGTAGGTAACTCTTATTTCCCTTAAACAGTAAAGAACGAGCAGGGCATGCCCTAAAAACTTGGGAAAATCAGGAATCATAGCTCGGAGAAGTCACAGAGCTATCAATCACTGCCCTCTCCTTTCAATAAATGAAGCAGCTAATTCTTCAACACAATAAACTGAAAAGCTCTCTTAACTTACAAATAAACTAGGCAATGAGTCATAAGAATATATTTCAATTCTCATTAATAAATAGTTATAGTTTTCCATAACCTATTATTCTACTGATATTGCATCATGGGGTTTTGGGGTTTTGGGGTTTTGGGGAGATCGGAAGAGCACACGT